ACCAAACAGGAGATAGAGAACATTACGAAAAGCAAAATAGATAATTTTGATTATTTTAAATTGAAAAGTTTTTGTACAAATAAAGCCAATGAAACTAAGATTAGAAGGAAGGTAGAAAATTGGGAAAGAATTTTTACAACCAGTCATTCTGATAAGGGCCTCATTTCTAAAATATATAGAGAATTAAGTCAAATTTATAAGAATACAAGCCATTCCCCAATTGATAAGTGGTCAAAGGATATGAACAGACAGTTCTCAGATGAAGAAATTAAAGCCATCTATAGTCTAGTGTAACCCTGGACTCAGCTGCTCAGTCCCCCCAGTCCTGATAGATGAGCTTTTGTCTTATTTTATTAAGGTCCAAGCCTTCATGCCATTGTCTCCTCACTATGCAACCTTGTGGGCCTCCCTACCTTTCCAACAACCCTTTATGTGTTGTCTCCTCCTATTATATGAGAGCTTCTTGAGAGCAGTGACTGTATTCTTGCTCATATGTTTTCCCAGCACTTGTAGAGTGCCTAGCAACTACCAAGGGCTTAATAAGTGCATTATCTGCCTGCCTACCTATCTATCTATCCATCTATCTACCTATTCTCTACCTATTTATCTATATCTATCACCTATTTATCCTTTATCTATATCTATCATCCATTCATCATGTATTTATTATCTATCTATATCTATTATATATTATGTATCTACATCAACTATCATATATCTATTATCTATTTCTGTATCTACCTCTATCTCTATCAATTATCATGTATCTTTTATTTTTATCTATCATAGATCTGTCCTCAATATCATCTATCTATCCTATATCTATATCTATCATCTATCTATATATCCATTTATCCTCTCATTATACCATCTCTCATGTATCTATTATCTATCTATATCTATCATTGACTATCCTCTCTATATATCTATCATCTATTATCTATCCATTACCTTTCTATATCTATCCTCTATCTATAATCTCTCTATATCTATCCTCCACCTTCTACCTATATCTATCATTTATCTATCTGTCGATGTCTATGTACTTGATATTTAAACTTGCTCCATTGTATCCGATTATACATAATCTTTGCTGAGGGGAAAAAAACCTTAAAATTACAGAAAATGGTTGCAGAGACCTGTAAGCCTGTTGAAACAGCAGAGTTTAATAGATAATTCAATCAAAATCAAGCACATAATATTGTTAAGAATGATTTTAGGGTAAGTGATATAGGGAAATTGGAAACACTGGTCTGTACCTTCTGATTGTCTGCATTAAACCTGTGACGCCCAGTGGTCTCTGGAGTAATTTCCATCACATCAAAATAAAAACCTAAAACAGGGCCAAGAAAAGATTAGTTTTTGCATAGTCAAAAAACCAAGAGATCAATTTCTTTATGATCCTAGAAAAATGGCAAATTGGAATGGAGCAGGAAAATGAAGCCCACATCTTTCCTGTGCTATTCCAAAGTGGTGGCTTCCCCAAAATCATCAGACAGTTGGTAATCAGGCTTCTCCCTTTTTCTCAATAACTTGGCATCTGACCCCTGTGTTTTATTGATACATGGGCATTCTCTCTGGTGTCTCCAGAAGGACTCAATATATGGGTGAGAATCAAGCCTAGACTTGGGATGAGATTCAAGAGGGATATAAACTGGAGACATCCTCTTAAATTCAGGGCTACTTCTCCCCATATAGTATGGTGTCTGGAGGGCTCGAGTACTCCTGGAGGATACCAGTGACTAGGGGGAGGAGGAGGTAGTGGTGGTGGTGGCAGTAAATGTAAGGGGTTGATCATAGGCTCATAGATCCAAAGTACCAGAACCTTGCTGATGGCACAGTTGAATGGCCTGGGGGGAAGAGGAGAGGGACTTCTCTACCTCAACTGTATTAAAAACACATACTGATATTCCTCCTCTTCCACAGGTCATCTGATTCACTCTCATATTCTGAGAAAATTCCACGGTTCCACATAAAGTCCTGACATAGAGTCCAGAGGATTTGGTATACTCTCTCAGGGGTTATGGTCTCTGTTAGAGCTGGCAAATCTAGTGATTAGCAGTCTTGACTCTAAAGGAGGTGTCTAAAGCCTCCTTGAGCTACTGGAAAAACCATTCACAATGTCCAATGAGAGCAGTAATTAGTAAGGTAGGGGGTTGCTCAGCATGTAGCTGGCTTTGCTAGGCAAGATGCAGTGAAGTCACTTTGAGATCTTTTCTTCACACACCTGTGCACATGTGCACACTCATGCAGTGCACATACACATGTACATGAACACACACATGCACACAAAGAGGAAAAATGTCAGGTACATTTCAGGTACTATTCAGGGCCAGTATCACTGCCTCTAAGTGATGCCTGAGATAGGACTTTGGAGCCTTCAGTTTCAAATACTTCTTTGCAGTGAGTTTGGTTTCTTAGGGGTCTGAGGCAACCACTGTGGCTGTTTTCTGGTTCCCTAACACCCTCTTCTGGGGGTTCTGCACTATCATGAGCAATCTTGTCATTACAGAATCAAGCCTTCTGTTTAGGAAGTCAGACAGCAATGTCCAGTCCACCTGAGGCAGGGCCAACATGTGCCAATAATTAGTCAGACCTCAAGGAGAGAAAAAGGTAATCTCCATCCAAGGTTAAGAAGGCCAAGTCTGAATTGTTTGGGGGTCACCAATTCTCATAACAGCCTGATGAAGCCTACCAACCCTTTCTCAGAATCATGATTTTAAATGCATAAAATAAAAAGGAAAAAAGTTACAAGGAAGTAAAAAATACTGTAAAATATACAGTTATCAAAATATTAGAACAAACAAATTCATGGACCCCAGGTTAAGAACCGTGGCCACCCAATCAAGCAATAACTCTTTAGGTACAGGTAAATAACTCTTTAGCATTTCTATCTTTACTCTGAATTTCTTTCAGGAATAAAAATCACAAAATATCATGCATAAATGGCATGTAGGTAAAGCATTAGATAGCCCTGAAAGACCACCATCTTTCAGACACACTATGATGGAAACACGCACTGTGCACATCTGGAGACATCAAATATCCCATACCATGTTCATGCCTAAAGCGATTATTCACCAATATATGTAGCCCACATTAAAGGAACAGCCGCTGTTCCTATTTCTCCTGTGCCCCAGAGGGATCATGAAGTGCAGAGGACTGCAGGTCCCCAAAGTGAATAGACTATTTTCTTCTCTAATCCTTTAGTCACAGAATGGAACATTGTAAATGTTCACCAAAAATGTTTTAACATCTGCCTGTCCTGGAAACCCAGAAAGTGAATATGAGTAGCAACAGGCTGGTTTAGAGAAACTGCTCAAGTTATAAGCCAGGAAAAGTTCTGACAATAAACCAGTTGCATGAATGGTGAAACTTAGATGGCTATTTTTAAATTTTTTCATATTTAAAAACTACCCTCTAGCCACCATTGTGTACTTATCTTTCTCCAAACATGTTGTGCACCCTTTGCTCCCTCGGTTCTCTGTCCGGTCCCAGCATTTCCTCAGTCTGCATTAGCCCCAGTTCAAATGCTACCTCTTTCTTCTAAGAAGTCTTCCTTAATCCACCCAGACCGCCATCTAAAGTCATCTTTCCCTCCTTTGAGACTCCTCCCTTGTTTCACATCTTATCTTATATTGTAGTTATTTTGTGTAAGTCTTCCATCCTTCCCTAGAATGGAATCTCCACCCCACCTCATCCCCTAAGGAATGATTAGTTGTTTTTTGTTTGTTTTTTTGAGGCAATGGGCTTTAAGTAGCTTTCCCAGGGTCACACAGCTAGTGTCAAGTGTTTGAGGCCGGATTTGAATTCAGGTCCTCCTGACTCCAGGGCCGGTGCTGTATACCCTGCGCCACCTAGCTGCCCCATAAGGGATGATTTGTAAACATCTAGAAAGAGAAGTGGTCTTCACAAAGAGTTAACATGGCTTCCTCATGAACAGATCATTCCAGACAAGCCATCATTTCCTTTTTGAGAGGGCTCCTAAAGTAGTGAATATACTTTAGCTGGATTTCATAAAAGTATTTGACAAGGTCTCGTGCTATCTTTGTGGACAAGATGAAGAGATGTGGGCTGGGTTGTAGTATAGTTAGATGGCTATGAAACTGGAGACTCAAAGAGAAGACAGTAATGTATTTGTCAATTCAACAATTTAATTCAATAAACACTTATCAAGGGCCTACTATGTGCTGAGTTCTGGGGATACAAATAAGAAGAAGATAGTCCCTGCCTTCAAGGAGCTTACAGTCTAATAGGGAAAGGTCTTGAGGCAAGCGCTCTAGATATGTGTCCTTGAATCTGGGCTGTTTAATATTTTTATCAGGGACTTGAACATAGATGACATGCTAACTAAATTTTCAGATGACACAAAACTTGGGACAGTAAACATGCTAGATGGCATAAGAATCCAAGAAAAGCCCAATAGGCTAGAATGTTTGGCCAGATCTAATAGGGTGGTACCATATAGTTAAAAAGGTTAAGTTTTAAACTTGGGTTCCAAAAAATCAGCTTCATGGATACCAGAAGAGAGAGAAATGACCCAAGAATTTTAGTAAACTGCACACAAAACATGAATGAACCCTGTAACATGGAGGTCAAAAATGTTGATTGAGTCATTGGCTACATTAAGATAAGCCCAGTGCTCTGACCTAAGGGAGTGACAATTCTGCTATTTTCAACCCTGGTCAGGCTCCATTTTATGAAGGATATCATTATAGATCATTCCCCTTCACACATTCCATGGTCTGGCCAAATTGTCCTTTTCTTGTTCCACATGAACAACACTCCATCTGTCACTTCTATACCTTTGTTCAGTCAGTTGCCCATGCCTAGAGCACATTTCCTCCTCACCTCCACCTCACACAGTTCCTAGCTCCCTTCAAGCCTCAGGTCAAGTACTGTGTCTCTGCCTATGAAACTTCTCTTGCTCCTCCAGCTGTTGGGTCTTGCCCCTACATTTTCCTTGTATTTGCTTTTTATATAGTTTGTATATATTTATATGTGTACATGTTGTCTCCCACAATAGAATTTAAGTTCCTCAAGATCAGAGGCTTTTTCATTTTTTACTTTCTATCCCTAGTATCTGGCACATAGCAGGCACTTTAAAAAAGGTTTTCTAGCTGATTGACTGCCATTGGTAAGCTATGGAACATAGAAAAAGTGCAACCAAGATGGTGGAAACCTTGAGATCATTCCATGAGCAGACTGGTCAAAGTTACTGGAGGGAGAAGGGTGGTTAGCCTATAGAAGAGAAGGCTTAAGGGTGACCTGAAAGCCATCTTCAAGTATACAAGGGGTTGACATACGGAAGAAAAAAAATTCAATTGGTTCTTTTTGGGCTCAGAGACTAGAACTAAATAATGAGTGGAAGTTTCTTTTGCATGTGCATGTGGAAGTTCCAAAAAGGAAGATTCACCTTGCTGTAAAGAAAAGACTTTATAACTATTGGAACTATCCAAAAGTGGGGGAGGTGGCAGATTCCCTCTCATCAGCAGCCCTCAGGCTAATGTTGAAAATCATTCATTGGGGGTTTTCTTGATGCAATTCCTAATCAAGTATGGTTGTCTTCTCTTCTGATTCTGGGTTTTCATGTGTTGGTTGTCTGTTTGTTGGTTTGTTTCAAACTCTTAATACCTAACACAGTGCTGGACAAAGTAAATGCTGAATATATGTTTATTGAATGAATGATTCAATCAAACTTGATTGAGGATACATTTTGAAAAGAGTTTCATATATACACCAGAGATTTAAACATAAAAAGAATGCTTTTACTTCTCAAATTAGACCTTCCATGGAAATTTATGGGGAAATATGGAAAAGAATTACATGGGATGAGAAGGGGTTGTGATTTGCATTGGTTGAGGCAATACTCACTAATGAAATCCCAGACCCATCAAACTATCATTGGGATTGAAAACACAACAAATTGTTTGAATTAACCTGAGATGACTTTTAATTTTCTGAATGTATTATGTTATGGAGGTAATGTTTGACTTTATATCTAAATATAATAGACTACACTAGGTGGAATGATCATGACTCAACCCGTAAGACCTCCTATATTACAGAGCTAATAGACATGCAATCAGTGATAGCACACACTTTTTATTCAAAACCAATTGATTCCCAATTGAATTTCCTACAATGGCTGTTCCAAACCTTTTCCTTCCTCCTTAAACCCCTGTTCAACATATTCCCCCCACTTCAGTGATCCTCTCAGTGGATAACTTCACTTGTTATTCTGAGAGGATGCAGGTCATCTAACCTGAGCATCCTTACTCAAATTCTATTCTCTCTCTTTCAATATTCTTTTCTTCACCCTCCTCTTCTCCTCATCCCCACCCCCGTCTGAAGAAGAAATGGCTCTGCTCTCTTCCTTGCCCAGATTGTTTTCCCTCCATGCATCCTTAAAGACCTTACTCCATTGATTTTCCATCCTTTATTTTTCTTCTATTTTTAATGTCTCCCCATTGACTCCATCCCTAACATCAATAAATACATTTTGGTTTCTCCTATCCTAAAAAAAAAAAAAGAATTTTTAAAAAATCTGTTCCAAAGGTGTGTGTACGTGTAGCTTTTAAGCTATCAAAGAAGACTTATTTAGAGCTGGAAGGAATGTTAGAGACCATGTAATCCAACGGCCTTATTTTACAGATGAAGAAACTGAGGCCCAGAAAGGTTATGTGACTTGCTCATGGTCACTCAAGTAATAAATGGCAAAGCCAAGATTTGATCCCTGGTTGATATTGAGCCCAAGGGGGCTTTCAGTCCAGTAGTCTTTCTATTCCATGTTGCCTCTTCAACAAACTTCTAGAAAGAATCGTCTGCCTTCACTGAGGCCTCCACTTTTTCACCAGCCACTCACTACTCAATCCCTTGTAATCTGGCTTCTATTCCCACCTAAAAATAGATCTTGCATGTCAGAAGTGCTAAGTAAATATATTTTTAATTGAATTAACTATTGAATACTCAGAAACCAGAATTTTTGAGAGGAATAATAAAATTTCCAATAGAGATTTTACAAATTCTATAGATTAGATTCCTTACACAGCTGCTTGATGGAAAATCAAATATAAAATGAAGCATTCCTCTTAAATAAGGCAGAAATGTCCCATTAATACAGTGACTTTCTCATCACACATATATTTTAAGACAGAATCATATATGCAAGTCTCCCTTCAAAAACTTTACTTGGAGCAACAGTGACAATTTAGTTATTTTCCCCTTTCTATCCCAGGTCCCTATCACAGTGCCAGGAGCAAAGAAGGCACTTAATAAATACTTGTTGGTTGGTATATTAATAGAATGCAAAAATCCCAGAGCTGAATGATAGAGGCCTTCCAGTCAATCCCATACCTGCTTAAAAAGTCCCTATCATATTCCCCCTCAGTGATCATCTACGTTTTGCTTAAGACTTCTAGTGACAGTGAATTCTCTGCCTTTCAGCCCATTCCACTTTGTGCCAACTTTCATCATCAGGTAGTTTTTCCACCCATTGAGATGAAGTCCACATCCATGCAGCTTGTACCCATTGTTCCTAGTTCTCCCCTCTAGGTCAAAGGAGAATCAGTCAAACTCTTTTGTCACTTGATCGTCTTTGGCACATGGAGAGCAACCATATTCCCCTGTCTTCTCTTCCCCTGGCTAAACTTCCCATGTCTTCCAATATATCCTTATGTGCCAAGGTGTCCATTTCCTTCAGCATCCCAATTGCCTTCTCCAGCTGATCAATGTCCTTCCTAATGTGTGACATCCAGAAACAAAGTATTCCCTGTGTGGTCTGAATAGAGTGGTGGTTGTTTGTCCTTTGTTCTCCAAGAGGACCATGAAATGTGGGAGGTGATGCCATGACGTGCAAGTGAATTGGATTGAAGTGAGGGAGAGGTGGCTTTATAGAATGATCACTTCTAAGATTGTATTTGTTTTTTCAGCTTTGAAGTCTCACTACTGACTCCTACTTAGCGAGCAGTCATCCAACAGTTCTAATTTAGTATACAAAGAGAGTTTCCCATTGTTAACTAAGATACATTGTTAATAAATTCTTTCACCTAATGCAGAGAGAAAAAGGGCAGTAAGGAAAGCTTTTTATCTCTACCCTGTTCTCATCATACTGAAAAATCCTCCACTGCATTAGAAGCATCTTAGAGTTCCTTGGACTGAATACCACCAAGAAGACCCTTAGAGAAAAAGCTACCCAGGCATTACTCACTGGGTCTCCTTCATCCTGTCCCATGGAGTCCTCTTGAGTCCTCCACATTCTACATGAACTACTTAGACTCAGAAAAGGTAGCCCCTATCAAACCAGTCCCAGGAGTTTTGTCTCCCTCAAAGCACATACCCAGATTTCCACAATTTCCAGTTTCAGTGGATTGCAGTGCTGTGGAGAACTCATCCCAGGAGCCTGAAGCAAATTCATCTCGGACTTTCTCTCTCATCAGAGACCCATTCTTAAAGCTAGAAAAAGAAGAAATGACAACTGTTAAATTTAACATTAATTTCTCCCAAAGAGCTGGTCCACATTAACATAAATACCTAGAACAATCTGATTAAAGAGCCCCCCAATCAGAAGTTCTTCTTCCAAGCACTCATACCCAGTAAAGCCCAATTTTCTCTAGCCAAGTATCAAGCAATGAGGGAATCAAGTATCTATTAAGCTCCTATTACTGATGTGGAGTATAAATTGCATGCATTTCTGCCACATGAAAATACAGATATCGCTATATTAAGGCACAACTAGATGAACCCTAGGTATAGGATCATGAGAGCATACAATTTAGAGCTAGAAGGGCCCCTGGAGAATCATACTGAGAAAAATGAAGTAACTTAGCCAAGGAAACCAGAATTCTAGTCTCAGCTCTGCAACTGACTCACTTTGTGATTTCAAACAGCAACAATGATTGCTAGTATTTTTTATGTAGTGCTTTAAGATTTACAAATTACTTTACATATATTACCTATTCTGATCTTCACAATTACCCTGGGATGTCGGTGTTAATATTATCCCCATCTTATAGGAAGAGGAACCTGAGGTCAAGAGAGGTTAAATGGTTTATGCTTGTGTGGTTAGTGTGGACTGCAAATTTGTGTCTTGGGAAAGATGTAAGGAACCTCTCCCTAGAATTTCCTTATTTCTGGAATGCCTAAGAACCAAGGGAAATGTACATCTACAGGATAACGAGCCCACAGTCCTGGAAGCCGGAAGGCCGAGTGGAAGAGGTTCAGATGGCCAGGAATGACATGACTAAAGGTCAAGCAAAACATGACCAATGAAATGGGTACCTGAGAGGAGGCAATATGACTGGAGGGTGGAACAGAAGCGGTACAACTGGACAGATTGGCATCCAAAAGCAAAAGGCAAGAATGAGAGGCAGGGCAATCGGAGGCCACAAGGGAAGCAGCATAATTGGAGATAGCAACCATGTGGACGAGTACCAATGCCTACTAAAATATACAGTGTAGACAGCTAAGGCGAGATGGGACAGGAGGCGATGTAAGTTTGACTGGCTGTTACTTCCAGGTTGGAAAGACCAGGGAGCTTAACTGGAGAGGAGATTGGCATTCCCAAGATATATTTGGAGTGGGACACCCATTTGGTACGGGCAGCGAGGTGGCACAGTGGATAGAGTGCCGTGCGGGGCCTGGAAGACTTCTCTTCTTGAGTTCAAATCTGGCCTCAGACACTTACCATCTGTGTGACCCTGAGCAAGTCATTTAACCCCATTTGCCTTAATTTCCTCATCTGTAAAATGAGCTGGAGAAGGATATGGCAAACCACTCCAGTATCTGCCAAGAAAACCCCAAATGGGGTCAGGAAGAGTCAGACGTGACTGAAAGCAACTAGACAACAAAAATCCCTTTGGTAAGAGTGCCAAGAATGCTGCTACTTAATTCAAAGTTTTTAAAAATTTGCTTTGCTATCCTATTTTGTAAATGCCATTTCTAGCTAGGATCTCATACATTGCATCCTGGTGCGATCTGGCTGGGCTGGGCTACATTGGTGTGGGTAAATAAATCAAAGAAAGTGATTTATGAGACCTTCCTTACAAGTGAACCTGGTCCCCATAAACTCAGAGCTTCTGGCCCTTAGACTGCAAGAGTATTATTAGTTATTCTCAATCAGTCATTCCAAATACAGTTATTCTGCATCTACCTATATGCAAAGGACTATATTAGACACTGGCTTAATACATAAGATTAACATGTATGACCTATATCAGATTGCTTGCCTTCTCATGGACGGGGGAAAGAAGAGAGGGAGAAAAAGAATTCGGAACTCAAAAAAATTTTTTAAATGTTTAAAATTTTTCATGTAATTGGGGGAAAATGCTATTTAAAAAATACGTAAGGTTAGTAAGATATATTCTTGTCCTTAAGGAGTTGACATTCCACTAGGACTTTTGAGATACATGAAAAAAAATGATACAAATGAACATTCTGTAACTGTCTCAGGAATTGTATCATTTTTTAGCCCAGTTATTTCTGTATCTGTTGCATCCTTCTATGAGACTATGGGGTCTATATGGGCTGGAAGTATTCTTAGAGGGCACTCATTTAGTCAACGTTCCTAATCTTAAAGATGTTGTGTATTAGGTTTCAACACAATTTAATCCAACAATGAAAGTGAACTTGCTGTTTTCAGACCATAAAATATAAGCAACCTACCACAAAAGGGCCATGTACTCTTGAGAATTAACAGGGTTGCAGAAGATGTGGCCTTCTAAAGCTGGGGTTGGCTCCTTGATCCAGAGAAACAGTGTATCGCTGGTGCCAAGGCTAACCTAAGTAATAAGAAAGCACACCTAAAGCAACAGTGAACTTCTACCATAGAAAGTACAGAGAAGGAAATTAAGACCATTGTGAAAAATTACTTCTGTTTTTAAACAGCACCTTAAGTCATTTTAAGTCAATAAGATATAGAAGTGTGATCCCAGCTTCTCAACATACAAGCTTTAGCCCTATTTCCCTCAATCTCTCTCTACTCAGCCCCTGACGTCATATACACACAAGTACATAAACTCATGAACTGTTAGAGCTGCAGACTCACCTTAAATACCATAAGATCACTGATTTAGAGCTGAGACGGGCTTCAGAGGCCATCTAGCCCAACTACCTCATCTTACACAGGGAAATTAGGTTAAGTGACTTGTCCAAGGTCACACAGGTAGCAAGCAGAGCTAGGGTTTGCTCCTAGGTCCTCCAACTTCAGAATAAGTGCCCTTTCCACTATAGAATGTTGCCAGTCCAAACAGAGACTACAGGGCCCCCAGTCCTGGATGCTACAGAGTTGGGATTCTTGACCAGGAATATATGAATGTTTTTAAATGCGTATTTTGATGTCCGTATTTCAACATAATTGATTTCCTTTGTAATCCCAGGTATTTTATTTTATGAATTTAAAACATTATTCTGAGGAGGGGACTATAGGCTGTACCAGACTGCCAAAGGGGTCCATGATGCAAAAATGTTAAGAATCTTTGCTTCAGAATCAGATGGGAGGTAGCACGTGGCCTCTATGGTCCCTTTATACTTGGAGATTCTGTGGTTCCGTGGTTCTGTGATTCTGATATTCTATAATTTTATGACTCAAACTGTACAGTTACTAAAAGGTAGAAGGCACAAGTTAGGAAGACACACTGCCAGAAATTCTGTAGGCTATTCATTTTGCAATGAAAAATAACTTCCTTTAATTAATAGGGTATTGTTTTTCACTGGACAGTTACACTAATTCAGACCAATATTCCCCCTCCCCTCCTTCCCTCCCTCCCTCTTTCTCTGTCTCTTTCTCTGTCTGTCTCTCTCTCCCCCCTTCCTCACTCCCTCCATCCTTTCCTCTCTCCTTCTCTCTCCCCCTCTCTCCATTCATTCCTCTTTCACTCTGTCTCCTTCCCTCCCTCCCTCTTTCTCTGTCTCTGTCTCTCTCTCCCCCCTTCCTCACTCTCTCTATCCTTTCCTCTTTCTCTGTCTCTCCCCCCTCTCCATTCATTCCTCTTTCACTCTGTCTCCTTCCCTGCCTCCCTCTTTCTCTGTCTCTTTCTCTGTCTGTGTCTCCCCCCTTCCTCACTCCCTCCATCCTTTCCTCTTTCTCTGTCTTCTCTCCCCCTCTCTCCATTCATTCCTCTTTCACTCTGTCTCCTTCCCTCCCTCTCTCTTTCTCTGGGACCTCTTTCTTCCTTCACACAATAAGGCAATTCTAGAGGACTATGAGTGATACCTCAGCACGCTGGTGCCCCTCCCCTCACTCCCTAGGTCTGAATGGGATCCAGAGGGAAGCCCTTGGGGAATATCCTGCTTTAAGAAATGAAATGTGATGAGTTTCTTTATGAATGAACATGTACTACTTGAATGATGTTCCTTTAAAAAATACCACTTACTGCAATGTCACCTTCTTCCAGTCTCATTCCAGCTAGTGATGCTGAAAAGATAAAGAGCAGCCTTTGTTTAATCAATAAATAAGCACACAGCCGCATTATTATTAGAATCAACAGAACAATCCAAGAGACATTTATTAAATTCTTCCGTAAGTGCAAAATAAAGGCTCAGAAACAAACAATTTGGACAATTCTCACAAATGGGGAAGGAAGGCTCATTCCACTGCAGCAGCGATTGAGGAGCATTGTTTAAGTTTGCCTCCTTGGAACCCAAACAGAATTTCCCCGATGGGAACGAGGAGAGGCTGTGGAACATTCCTGTGCATAGACAACTAGGAACCAAGTTCTCTTTTTATTGAAAAACCAAATGGAATCTATTAGGTGACTAACTTTGGACCCTTCATTTGTCACAGGAGGAGGTACTAACAAAATAACATAGAACAATCCCACAGTTCAATGTGAAATTTCATCAGAAAAAAACCGAAGGGTCTCAATGATTTGTTTAGAGGTGGAGGAAAGCCATGGATCTGTGGAGTCCATAATGCCTTCCTACCTCCGGGTGGCATTCTATCTTGCCAACACTGACACTTCCACATGTGCTCTGTATCTTCTTTCTCCTTCTTACATCCAAGCCCACTAGCCCAGATCTGATCTGCTGGGACCAGAAGGAAGCTGATACCATAGTCTGCCTCTCTTCCAACCTTCCTCCCAAAGCAGGGGCTCTGCCAATGTAAGGACTATGGGTTCCTTCCCATGAGAAAAGGTATGGGAGTGGGATCACTATCCTGGCAGGAAGGTAAAAGGGCCTTATGACCTGCCCCTAGCTCTATGTCATTTCCCACCCCCCCCCCCAGACCCCAAGTCACTGCCATGGGATCAAACAATATACCCTAAGGATATCAGGGTCAGCTAGGTGGCCCAGTGGATAGAGCACTGGGCCTGGAGACAGGAAGACCCGAGTTCAAATTCAGCTTTAGATATTTACTAGGTGTGTAACCCTGAGCAAGTCACTGAACCTCTGTCTGTCTCAGTTCCTTGAAATGTAAAATGGGAATAATAATAGCACCTACCTCACAGGGTCAAATGAGGAGGATTAAATGAGATAATATTGGTGAAGCACAGTGCTTATCACATGGTAGGTGCTATAGAAATGCTAGCCCTTACTACTACTACTGCTGCTGCTGCTGCTACTACTGTTACTACTACTACTGCTACTACTACTACTACTACTACTACTACTACTACTGCTACTGCTGCTACTACTGCTGCTGCTGCTGCTGCTGCTGCTACTACAAATCCCCTAGAATTTGTTCAGTGAAGTTTGGATTCAGTCAAAGCTGAACTTGAGGACCTAGAGGGCCACATGTGGCCTTGGGGCCACAGGTTCCCTACCCCTGAACCAAAAATGTGCCTTTCTGCCTTAACACTGCTCAGAATATAAGAACCACTTCTAATTCTTCTCAACCATATACATGAGTCAGATCAATAAGAGATGCAGGGATGATGACATAGTTCTTAAATTGTCACCATATCAGTTGTCACCACTTAGAATCTTAGAAAATCTTAGAAAAGTCTTTGACTCTCAAGAGTTCTCCAGCAATTAGCAGGAGACTAGTGTTTCTATCTTTTTAGAATCAGTATGTCCTTCCTTCCTGAAGACACTAAGTCCCTTGTGTATCTGATGGAGGCTCTAAAGCAGTGGTGTCAAACTCAAATAGAAATAAGGGCCTCTAATCTGTACCTAAGGATCCCTGCAGATCTCTTGTAATGTCATCTATGTTTTATTGTATTTTTATTTATTTTGTTAAATATTCCTGAATGACATTTTAATCTGGTTTGGGCCACACTCAGGAATTTTGTGGGTCACAGGGCTATGTTTTTGATACTTCATGTCTAGAGAACTGGTATTTATTTATTAATTGGCAGCTCTAGGTGAGCATCTTCCACATGATCCAACACTTCCTTTTAGCCTTTTCTCATGCTCTTCCAATGCCTTTTGGAATATCGGCATCCTCCCTGTATGCCAACACTTTCAAGCACATTATCAGGCACATTCTCCATGTGCCCCTAGAAAGGGGCAGGTACCTAAGAAATTCTTTGGGGTGTATTTCCAAACTGAGCAGATGAAGGCCACCTTCTCCTTGCCTTTCTTTATAAGTATCCGAAAGTAGTCACTATGTAAGTTCAACACTGGAAACCATTTAGATTCATAAACAACCATCCAAGACATCCTTAGCTTCCGTTATGGGGCTTTGATTCAGCTTGGTTTTTTTTGTCAAAGTCTGATAGCCTACATATATCCAGATCTTTCCACTCTTCTTCCACACCACCCCTCTGAGGGAGTGATACAGAGTGAAGGACTCCATTATAGTGCCATTGACTAACTAATTACTCTAGTTTCCCATCTCAAAAAGGGCAATTTTCCATTAATAATGTCAGAAAGGTCAGGAGTTATTGAGGTAGATTCTGTTCATTGTTTCATAGGAATACCACATGTCCCACTTATGCAGTCAAAGAACATTAGTCTTCATGGTAAGTTTGTTCCTTAGATGATCAATCTATTCTGCAGGTACTAGAGATTCACTAAAATCCAATTTTTCTACAACTACTCTTGAGGTGAAAGATACAGTGTTGTTTTAATGCTCTTCCACCAGTAATCTCTCTACCTCATCAAGCAAAATACAACCCTGCTTCTGTGGTTTACTGTTCCAGAATAGCAATAAGCTTCCTCACCAGAAATCAGAGATCTTTGAGGTGTTCAAAGCCCCAGCTTACTGCATGCAGTGTTTTGCCTGTACTTTGAACAGGCTTGACTTGGTCCCAAACAACACTGACATCACCGAGGGGTTCACAGGACCTGGACACAGCACAGTCATGGTGTCTACCTACTTGCTGACACCTACAACTTCTCCAGGGAAAATGAAACTCACATTGGTATAATCCAAAACTGAGGGTAATCCTTCTCACTTAATACACAGAGGCCTAGCCCCTGCATGGGGTATAGATATACATGTCGCAAGTATCCATAAAATGATTGGCCTACAACTGTCACTGAGAATAACATCAGTTCTAGATGGTTCAGTCAGGACAGTTCCAGCCTTGAAGTCAGGAAGACCTGATTTCACAACCTGTTTCAGATGCTTACTTGCTATATGACTCTGGGCAAGTCACTTAACTTCCCAGGCTCGATTTCCTCATCTGTAAAATGGCGATGATAATAATAGCACTTATTTCTTCAAGTTGTTTTGAAAATTAAATTAAATAATATATGTAGAGTGCTTGGAAAATCTTAAAGTGGTGTATTAATGTTAGCTATTATCATTATCATCATCATTATAATTATAATCACTATTATTCTTTTCTTTACTATAATTACGCATGAGGTTTTATAAGCTTAAGTATAAAGGATACAGGTAAATTTGGTTGGTCAAGAATAAGGCTACTTGAGAACTGGAATAATCTCTATCCCTACCTCCAAGCTCACTGCCTTCTGCTGGCCAGGTGGGAGTCATCTGACATATTAATTCCAAATTTCTCCTTTGATTGCATCCAGCACTCATGTGTCCATCTAGTCCACAGCTGTAGCTGTGCTACAACTCTGTCTCTTTGCCTGTGCTCTGATGCTGCTGCTGCTGTTTTAGAATTGACCTCCAGTACCTTACTTTCTGGGAAAAACAGTACCAGCCACTGTGCCATCTCCCAGGAGATTTGCCCTGAGGTTCTGAATGCTCCTCTGTATGATCTGGGGTAAACTTTCTCTTGGCTTCGGTGACCCAGACCTGAGACGTCTTAGAGCTAATCAGAACCAGTTTGGTTGATGTAAAGCTTCTCTCTCTTTCTCTCTGCTCCTTTCACCTTCAATCTTTTTCAGCAAGTATATACCTGCTCT